ATTAGCAGCATGACTACTTTAGCCACTGCTGTCAGTCACCTTCAGACAAGTGTTGATTTTAAAAAAAAAAAAAATCATAGAAAATGAAGTGCCTGTGCATTTGGTTGGGTTTTATTGCAGAAAGGGGTGAAGGACAGCACCAACCTTGTTTTAATCTCTTGTCACTTTTGTAATTTTCTTCTCTTCTGTTTTGTTGGCCTTGTTTTCCATGTCTCTCTTCTCTTTGTGTTTGTTTTATTTTCATAGGGATGTCCCAGATGCAGCTGGCCCACCATGGCCCTCATGGCCTAGGACACCCGCATGCTGGACCTCCAGGCTCCGGGGGCCAGCCACCGCCTCGACCACCGCCTGGAATGCCTCATCCTGGACCTCCTCCGATGGGCATGCCCCCACGAGGGCCTCCTTTTGGATCTCCCATGGGTGAGTGGTCGCTAGCCCCTTTCTTATTCTTGCATATGTTTCTGTGTGTGTGAGAGAGACAGAGACGTGCAGACACTCTGTAGCTTAGGAAGCTTTGGCTCCTGCTCCTCCTGCCTCAGCTTCCCAAGCGCTGGGGTTGTGGAGCGCCTGTCATCGAGTTGTTGGTTCTGCTGTTCTTACAGCTTTTTCTCATTGCCCTGCCCCATGCCCTTTCCCTGGCTTCTCACATCTCTTCTCTTCTCTTATCTTAGCCCCTACTGATCTCAATATTAACTGCTTCCTACTTTCACTTATTAACTGATCTTTTCTTCCTGCAGGTCACCCAGGCCCCATGCCTCCACACGGTATGCGTGGGCCTCCTCCGTTGATGCCCCCTCATGGATACACTGGTCCTCCGAGACCCCCTCCCTATGGCTACCAGCGGGGGCCCCTCCCTCCACCCAGACCCACCCCACGGCCCCCAGTTCCACCTCGTGGTCCACTTCGAGGCCCACTTCCTCAGTAAATTGCCGTCCTTTGTCTCCCTCTTATATCCTCCCAGGATCTTCATTTCTTGGACCAATCAGAGTTGCTGTAGCTTGTCAGGGCTAATGTGACCCCTCACAGCAGCTCTGTCCCCATTTCAGTGTCATTTTTTTCCACAGGGGATTTTTACTCATTTCTGTTTAAAATGTTGGTCCTAATTGTTTTACACATGTATAGAGAAATAAAACTATACTTCTTGCTTATTCTTTGGTGAAGTAACTTAAGTCAGGGTATTGTGGGAGGAGAGGTACAAAAGATGGCCATAGTGTGTACGTTGTGAAGGTTTATTCTGAATATTGCTGTACTGCAGGGGCCTACCTCAGCACATCTAGAGCAGTTGTTTCTTGGAATAGAGCCTGTCTTCTGGTTTATAACAAGGGGCCATTAACAACAGAGATAAAATGGCTGGTGATAAGTTGGCAAAGAGTAACTTGCAGAAAAGTCTCCATTGTGGCACCATCTGGAGTTCAGCTGGAAGGTGTGTCAGTGAGGGCTGGATGAAAGGTAAAGCCTCACGCTAGAGCACTATGCAGCTTTGAAACGACCAGGGAGGAGCTGGGAGTACAGGTCAGTGGTGCAGTGCATCCTTTGCGTTGGAGAGGTCCTGTCCTTGGCACCAGAGGGAAGAAGATTCTCTATGTATTTGTAAAAGGTGTGAGATGTGTAGGTCATAGTAAGCAAAGTTATACACACACACACACACAGAACCACATTCATGATTTGCTACCTTGTCTAAGTGGTAGCAGATATGTATATGTGTTTGCCTATATTTTAATAATATATCGACCAACCAGTGGAACTTACACTAAAATATGGAGGGAAGGTTGATTGATTGAATTTTTATTTGTTGGGGCCAGACTTTGGAACCGAGCTCCCTAGCTGTCCTAGAACTCACTGTGTACCCAAGACTGGCTGTGAGCTCAAGAGATTCACCTGCCTCTGCTGGGATCAAAGGTGTGTACCCCCATGCCCAACTGAAGCTTAATTTCTTTTTCTTTTTTTGAGACAGGATTTCTCAGTGTAGTCCTGGCTGACCGGGACTCACTTGTAGACCAGACTGGACTTGAACTCACCTGCCTCTGATCCACCTGCCTCTGCCTCCCAGAGTGCTGGGATTACAGGCATGGGACACCGTACCTGGCTGCAGCTTAATTTCTTGACTGTGTTAATATGGCTTTCATTTTGAGTCATGTAAATGTCTTAAGTAATTGCTAGACAAAGTGAGTAAGGACAATAATAAATGTTCATTTTCAGTATGTATATTCCTCATTTTGCTCACATTCTTGGTTCTTCCAAACAATTTCCACTCTTAACATTTTTATGGTTTCTATAGTGGCCCTGCTAGTGGCAGGCATTGCTGTCAGAACCAATACAAGACACATTTATTGAAACAAGATGTTTTGGGAGCAGGATAAAAGATAACCTGACTTGGTCTGGAAACTTCAGGAAGACTTTCTTAGGAAAAAGGTGATATCCAAATAGTCTTTTTGCCATTAAGATGATCTTCCTCGCCAGGCATTGTGCACACCTTTAATCCTAGCAGAGGCAGGTGGATCTCTTGAGTTCAAGGCCAGCCTGGCCAGCCTGGCCTACTTAGTTCTAGGACAACCAGGGCTCTTTAAAGAGACCCTGTCTCAAGCAAAAAGATGGTTTAGCCTAAGGAAAGCTGGCCTCAAACTGTCTTCCTGCCTCTGCCAGTAGAATGCTGGAATTACGGCATTGCCGCCAATCCTGCTCTGCCATCAGAGCATCAGGATACTGCACTGAAGGGGGTAGTTGATGCTTGGCTGAAGTCAGAGCCAGGTGGGGGGCTCCAGAGGCTTTAGTGCTTCTCAACTCTTGTTCATTGGTGACCATGGAAACCCTTCAGTATGACCCTGAGTGAAAGAGACCATGCTCCTTCAGCTGTGGGCTCTTGTGAGCTCTTGTCCCAGGAGTTCTAGCTGCCCTGGTTGATAATCAGACATTGAGGTGGTAATGTAGACTAGGCAGGTGGAAACAGGCGTGGCCTGGAGATGGAAATGTGTGAATCACCTAGTGGACACAGTAGCAAAATTGTGGGGCTGCCCGATGTGAACAAGGGAAATGGTCAGGTAGAAGCTGGAAAGGCCCAGAGTGTTAGTCCTGTTCAGGGGACTGGGGAGGTGGTGAAGTACATGACTTAAGCCTTTCCTCAGAACTTAAACTGTATATTTCCCCTTTTCAGAATGCTTGCAGTCCTGGGGATTGAATCAGCCCTGGGTCATATCTCTGGCCCTCTCTGCCTTTTATTTTGCTACAGGGCCTCGCTAAAATGGCCTTAAACTCATCTTGTAGCCCAGACGGCCATCGGACTTGGGATCCTCCTGCATCAGCTTGCTGACTAGATGGGACAAAAAGGCTTGTGCTGATGAGTACAGTGTTTCTTCTGAGAAACTAATACATCAGTGCAGAATCACCTGAAAGAGAAGGAGCAGCTTCCTGTCAGCAAGGCTCGGCTATCACTTAAAATGGGGAACTATTATTTAAGTTAAAAGATACATTAACCTTAAGAAGGGTCATGAATGAAAGCCTAGTAAAGGGCCAGTCCCCAAGGCCCGAGTGGGCGGAGCTGTTCATGCACCGTCCTGGAAAGAGTACTTCAGCCAGCAGATTCAGAGTAGTTCTAGAGCACTGGCAAGGCTTCCCAGGCCCCAGAGGTGGGGCAGAGAGTTGTTGCCAGGAGAGGTTTTTGGATTCATTGGCATTCTACTGGGGATGGCCAGATGCCATTAAAGATACAAATCCTCCCCTTCCGTTTCTCTGCAACTATACATTGACCTGGTCCTGATCTGGCTTTCAGAGGAGAATGTCCTGGACACGAAAAATGCTCAGTGTAGCTGAGAGCTGAGTTTTTAAGGTAAATTATTATCTATTATGTCTTTAATTGTGAATTTTATTGACCCAAACATTCCCCAAGTCCAGCATTGGCTTGTACAAAACTTAGGCCAGAATCCCTGGCCTAGTAAACATGTCAAACGTCGTCTGGGAACTCTCTCAGCACACAGGCTGCCAGCACAGAGGTTTAATACAGCCCAGCTTCCGAGACCCACCTAATGAGCAGAACATTCTGTGTTCTAGAGAAGAAGCCTGCCATTCACAGAGGCAGAGGACTTGGCCAAAAGCCAGAAGTGGAAACCTGGGCTAAGCCTTTGTCAGCGCTCTGTCCAGACAATTCCAGGGTCTTCCCTGGAGTGGATTTCTTCAGGGTGGACATCTTCAGACTGTCTCTGACTTCTGGAGCAAAGATGTTCACCAAGTGATAGCTCTTGGATAGTCAGGCCAGGTTATCTGAGACTGACACAGGGAAGACATAAAAAAGGACCCGAGTGAGCGCTGAGCACGCCCTCCTCTGGAAGAGGGAGGTGTTAATGGGATTATTATTTTTTTTATGAGTTACTGGGGAGAGTAGATGAAAAGGGAAATGTCCAGTTAATCAGATGTGTAAACAAACTCCTTCCCCAGCCTCTGCTCCCAGCAGCTGAATTAAGGGGAGGAGGAAGTTGGCCTTGTACAACAATCTGGGCTGGTTTTGGCGGAGACAGATGACAGGGACCCAGGAGTCACTGACGCCGGCTGTTCAGAAACCACGCCTTGATATCTCTGCATCCTCTCCCATAGCCAGGTGAACCTAGGCTCTGAGCTGTGGGTTTGGGGGAAGGTTCTTAATTCCAGGGAGCCATGTAGATGGGGAGGAAGCTGTCTTTAAGGCAGCGAGAACCGCTGGGACTCCTGGGTTCTGTCATCCTGGCTTTGGGTGCTAAGGAAGGGGCTAGCTCACCCTCTGTCTCCCCACTTGCTCTCCTAACCACTATTAATGTCTTCCTTTAGTTTCTGTCATCTTTTGCTAGGGAGGAAAGGGCTGAGAAAAACTGTCATTTCCAGCCGTCGCCCTGACATCCCCTCCAGTCCCTTCATCATCTTTCCTTCCTGTGTCCTAAGTCCCCTCTCCATCCTTTTCTTTTGCCACCCTCCCTCCCCACAATGGTCTCTCCCGATGCTCACTGGCGCGGAGGAGGGGGGGGGCGGAGGCGGGGCCGGAGCGCGTGCTGGGGGCAGGCTGCAGTGCTGCTTCCCCTGGTACGAGGAGCAGTCGCCGCTGCCGCCTCAGCCCCGCGGCTGGACCCCCTCCCTTACCCGGGGACTCCCTGACCCGGGGAAGCCAGCTCAGGTGAGACCCCTCTCCTCTCACCTCCACCCCGCCCCAGGCAGAAGCATCCTTGCCCAGCCTTGCAGCCATTTTACCTCTGATGCTTGACTCACGGGGAGGGTGACTGTCCCTGCCGTAGGGGTGAGGGGTGGTGGTGGTGATGCTAGCGGTTTGGGGAATGGGCCATTTATTCCAGTTGCTCTGAGAATGTACTTGAATAAATAAATATGTATGTGCACATACACATATGTATATGTATGTATCCACACATACATACATAGATACATATATAGATGAGGATGTTTTTTTTCTACCTTAGTCTAAGTCTCCATTACAATCTTTGGGTATAAACGTGGCAAGGGGTTGTTAGGTAAGCTGAGGCTCCCTCAAACTCCCTCCCCTTCTCCCCTTAATGTATGTGCCCCCCCCCCCATGATAAATGACCTTGGCTGGGGCCAGAGAATGAGTGCTGCCTCTCTTGCCTGGACTTGGGTGGGTTAGGGGCAGAGAGGTAGGGTTGCTAGAGGATAGAAGGAATGAAACGCCCGAGAGACCGAGATGGGAAGAAGCACCTGGGGGCTGGGGCCCAGGACCCGGGGCTGGAGGCAGTTTGGTGGGGAGGAGAGGGGGGCAGAATGATAGCGCGCACCTGCCCAGCAGCAGGACCAGAGGTGGGGCCGCAGTGGAATCTGTCCCAGGGCCTCATGCCTCTTACCAGAGCCTAGGCTAGGTGGGGGTGGGGGTCTCCGTCATCCTGGCAGGGGCAGTCCCTAAGCCTGTGCGAGGGGAGCATTCTCTCTGCCTCTCTCTGCCCTCTCCGTGAGCTTCGTGTGCATTCTCAGCTGACACCCCCCCCCCACGACGAAACCGGATGCTCCCATCTTCTGAACCCAGGGGTAGATTGTGGGGGTGAGGGGCAGCCCTGTTGGTCCTGGGGAAGGGTAGGAGGCTCAGTTATCAAGCTATGGTGCAGGAGGGGAGCTTTGGAATCCCCCCCCCACTCTATCTTCTCTGTCCCTTGTCCTTTTCCATGAGAACCTTTTGACAAATGACTGCTTCTTAATGACCTTGTCACTTCTTAATGACTTGGGAGAGGATGGGCTGAAAACCTGGGTGGCTTCTAAGGCAGGGGCTTTGATTAGGGAGGTAGTCTGGACCTGAGCAGTTGCCCTGAAAGGGAAGGCATGACTAGGAGGCCCTTTCCACCTCCTGCAGAAAATCTGGACGCATTTCTTCTGGTCAGGTGAAGCCAGCCAGCCTTAGAGGACTTGGTAAATCCCAGCCTGGTCTCCTTTAACCCCACCTCTCCCAGGGCCGTCTGTGTTTCTCAGGCTCAGCCACCCTGTGCGCTTCTCGGGCTAAATATAGCACCACTTCCTCAACAGCTCAAAGAATTTGTCTTCTCTCTCTCCCTTCTGGGCTTGTTGGCCCTGGGGGAGCTGGCTGTTGAGCCACCATCTCCTGTGATGGATGTGGGAGCCTTCCCTGCCCACACTCACCTCTGAGGAGTAAGGAGTGTCCACAGGCAGGGGAAGCAGACCCTGGCTGGCCAGATGCCCTCAGGGTTTGAGGGGAGATCAAGGTTGGGAAAGAAAGGGGAGGAGCATGAATTGCATTGCACTGAGGGTGGCTGGTCCCTGGAGCACGGAGAAAAGGTGACACAGGGGCCATTGCTTCTGGTCACTGTTGTGCAGTGCTTACATCTGTGCCTGTGCTTCTTTACGAATGACATAGCAGTATTTACCATTTCCCACCAGCGGTGTGTGTGTGTGTGTGTGTGTGTGTGTGTGTGTGTGTGTATGACATTAGTCAAGGCTGGGTGGGAGCAGAGGATAGTTTTAAGGGGGAAGGATCTTGCTCTGAATCTAGGCCTGCGTCCCCTGTTGCCACAAAGGAGGCGATCCTCTACCTCCCTTTGGGGAATGTCTTTCTTCTTTTTCTTTTTAGGGGCGGCCCTAGGTCCCCTTCATTCTCCATCGGCTGCCTACGCAATGCGGTATTTGTGGACTCCTTTTTCACAGACTCCTGAAGAAGCAGGGGGATTAAGGGGGATTAGGAAGGGAGACCCTGGAGGAAGGAGGCTCAACCATAGACCTTAGACTCCCATTAGAAACATGACTTCAGGTAGTCGCTTCCGCTCCCAGGGGCGAAAGGGGGCCTATGTGACATTCTGAAAGAAGGGGATCCCGCCAGTGTGTCCCCTTTTAGTTCAGGATCTTCTACCCAGGTTCCAAGTCTCCGTTTTGGGGTCTTTATCTTGTTGCTCTACAAATATAACTAATTCCAGGGGTTAGTTTAAACACTGAGTTCTTGGGAGGATTCCGGGCATCAGCGGTCCAAGATGAACTTCTGCTGCGGTCTGCTGCTTCTTTCACACTTTTCAAATCCAGCAGGGAAGGAAGGAAGCTAACACTCATAGAATAATAGTGTGAGGTTAAGTTTCACAACTGTGAGAAATGAATTTTCCTAATTTAATTATCATCAAGTTGGAGAGAAGGACACTGAGGCTCAGGCAAATTGGGACAACCCGCCCATCAGCAGTCAGCAAGGAGGGGGTTGGGGACTTCAAATGTCACGTGCTTTGCATCCAACCAGCATTCTCCTTGATGGTGTCCCCTTGTGCCGTTCACCCTTAGGAACAGGCAGAGGGGGCTTGGCTGTATGCCGTCGGCACCACGCTAGAGGTGGTGTCTCACTACCTTTTCTGTGCTGGGTCCTGTGGCAAGCATATGCACACTGTATCACTAAGCCCTCGCCTTTTCCTTCTAAGCAAGAGCGAACCATGCCGTAGCCATGCATCGCCAAACCCCAGTCTGCGTGACTCGGGAGGCATAGCCTTACTTCCCAGGCTAAGCCGGGAGAAGTCCCTCCTCGGGAGACATTGGAGGAGGCACGGTGGAGGCCCCAGGCCCCCACCTCCAGATTGACCAGTGGACTGAAGAACCTGATTGGAAGGCTTGTTCTGTCACACGTCACCCTCAAGTTCTGTCTCAACCAGAGCTTCCGCCCAGACCAGAGCAGGAAACCCTTGTTTCTCCCGTTTCCTGGGTCTTCTGTGCAATGGGTCTTAACTGGATGCCGGCAGCGGTTAGGGAAGGGCAGATGGCTCACTGCTCCTGCAGCGCGTCCCGTGGCTCTCCCTCCAAGGTCACAGAAAAGCGACTGGCATACTTGGAGTCCCACAGCCGGCCCAGATAACCATCCCTCTTTAACGGCTGGTACCTGGGGTGCAGCTGCCACCCGGAGCACGTGGGCTCGGCGTGTGTCTGGGTGGAGAGGGGTTCCACACTGTCCCTGCCTCACTAGCCTAGTGAACTTCCTTTTCTCTCTCCTCCTAGGTCTGCAGAGGCTCCAGAAGGGAAGTAGAAAGTCCTCCCTGAAATACGTCGGCTCCTCAGTTGAGCCTCTCCAACCTGGCTTCCCCTTTCCGCCCCATTCCCCTTCTCCCCCTCTCCCTCTCCCACTCACCCTCCTAAACCCGGTGCAGAACAGAGCTCTGTTCTCCCTTTTCCCTCCTGGACCTCACTGGCCAGGCCCTAGTTCCTCTTACTCTGAGCCGAAAGAGACTGGCACCCATTTCACTCGGGGAGAGAGTCCTCTTGACCCCACACGCCACCGAGCAAAAGGCTGAAAACCAAGCGGAGAGAGTGAGGTGGCCCCAGAGAAGCGCGCCCCAAGCCCCATCATGGAAGAAGGCTTCCGAGACCGGACGGCGTTCATCCGTGGGGCCAAAGACATTGCCAAGGAGGTTAAGAAGCACGCGGCCAAGAAGGTGGTGAAGGGCCTGGACAGGGTCCAGGATGAGTATTCCCGCAGGTCCTACTCCCGCTTCGAGGAGGAGGACGACGATGACGACTTCCCGGCCCCTGCTGATGGCTATTACCGCGGAGAAGGGGCCCAGGATGAGGAGGAAGGTGGCGCCTCCAGCGACGCCACCGAAGGCCACGACGAGGAGGATGAGATCTACGAGGGCGAATATCAGGGCATCCCTCGGGCAGAATCTGGGGGCAAAAGCGAACGGATGGCAGACGGGGCGGCCCTGGCCGGCGTGCGAGGGGGCCTGAGCGACGGGGAGGGTCCCCCTGGGGGCCGGGGGGAGGCGCAGCGGCGGAAAGATCGCGAAGAGCTGGCTCAGCAGTACGAGGCCATCCTCCGGGAGTGCGGCCACGGCCGCTTCCAGTGGACTCTCTACTTCGTCCTGGGCCTGGCGCTGATGGCTGACGGGGTGGAGATCTTTGTCGTGGGCTTCGTGCTGCCCAGCGCTGAGAAGGACATGTGCCTGTCTGACTCCAACAAAGGCATGCTAGGTAAGAGCCCCGCTCTTCCCGTTCGCGCCGCTGTGCCCGGGACGCCCAGGGGTCCCCGCGCACTACCCACCCGCAGACACCCTCTTCTGGAGGCTGGGTGGATACGATTGGGTGTGGAAGAGAGGGAGCGCAGCTGGAGTGTCTGGCTGGCTGTCTGCCTAACCGCCACGGTGGGGTCGGGCTGCTGTTGAGTGGGCCTCAAAGCCTTCCACCCCGTTGCCGGGTGCCTTTCCCAGACTGCAGAAAAAGGCAACTTTGAAATGCCTTTTTATAGACGGGGAGGGTCTGTTTGGAGGGATGTTTGGGGACCGGGAATGTCTCTGATGGACAGCGGTCTAGAATAAGAAATCCTAGAGGCTCGCGGAGAAACTGAGGGCTGGCTTTACCGTAGACAGGTCTCTGCCTCTCTGTCTCTCTCTTTCTGTCTTTCTCTTTCTCTGGGCTTGTTTGTTTTGGACACTGATAAAATGCAAAGTTTGGAGATAATTTTAAAAATCAATTCCAATTCTGGTTTTAGGAAAGAAACAGTAAATTAGAGGATTTTAGGACCCCAAGTATTAGGGAGAGGATAAAGGATAAACTTTGTATTGGAGACTCTTCCCCAAGGAACAAAAGATCTTCCTCTTTGAGAGCATCAAAAGCGGAAGAGAAGGGCCGGGTGAGGTGTAATTAGTCCCAGCTCTCTGGAGGCAGAGGCTGGTGGATATGTGAGTTTGAGTCCAGCCTAGTCTACACAGTTAGTTCTAGGCCAGCCAAGGTTACACAGTGAGACACTATCTAACCCCTCCTGCCCCCCCCCCCAAGCCCCAAGCAACATACAGGGAGGGTGGAGAGGGTGGGGGTGGGGTGGGCATCTAGGAATCTAGGCAGATCTATTTTACTTCCAGGTGAGCTGGGAGGGGAAGAGGACAGAGAGGAAGAGGGGTGGGGGTGAGGGAGGGTTTCTCTAAAATCATTGCCTCCTTGCCATTGAGCGCCTGGTCTCCATCCACCGCCTCTCACACACCACCCTCGATCACTCTCTTTTTTATTTACTTTTGGTTTTTTCGAAACAGGGTTTCCCTGTGTAGCCTTGGCTGTCCTGGACTGTAGACCAGGCTGGCCTTGAACTCACAGAGCTCCACCTGTCTCTGCCTCCTTGCGTGCTGAGATTTCAGGCGTGCCACAGCACCCGACTGGCTCGTTCTTTGTTAGACGTAGCCGACTCCTAGAAGTTCTTCAGATCCATTCTACGTCAGCAGCTGCAGCCCCCATTGTTGGGGCTCCAGGAGAGAGCGGATGGGAGAATCGCAGCATAGCGGGTCACACCTCTCCGGTTTCCGTCCCTCTGCAGGCCTCATTGTGTACCTGGGCATGATGGTGGGAGCCTTCCTCTGGGGAGGCCTGGCTGATCGGCTGGGCCGGAGACAGTGTCTGCTCATCTCGCTCTCCGTCAACAGCGTCTTCGCCTTCTTCTCGTCTTTCGTCCAGGGTTACGGCACTTTTCTCTTCTGCCGCCTCCTGTCTGGGGTTGGGTGAGTGTCCACATCCTAAACCCTTAAAGACAGCGCAGGGCCCTGGTTGCTGCTGTAACATACGCTCGGTACAGGGTTAGGAGTGTTGCATATACCTAAGCACACGTGGACGGAGTGAATGAGCATCTTTCCCATCCCCCCTCCTGTCCAGTGCCTGCCTGCCTGCATCCAGGATCCTATGCCTGTCCCTGAGCCCCCCAGCTTCCCTCCAGCTCTTTCTGAGGCTGTCCACACAGAGGTCCAGTGGGCCTCGGACTGGGCCCTGGGCTCATGTGTATCCTGGAGCTATCCCCTCCCCGAATGTACATTTTTCCTAAATTTGTCAAAAAACCTTGCTGACACCCACCCTCTTTGGCAGAATATGAAGTCGTTCCCTTCCTGCAAGTACCAGGCCCTCATTGTCCGTCTCCATGTTTTGTTGTTGTTTGTTTTTTGGTTGTTCCTATACCTGCCCCAAGACTCCACTTTGCCTACCCTTTTCCTGTGGAGGTTTAAAATTTTATTTTTATTTGGACATAGTCATAGCTGTTCCAAAACACACTCTGTATCGATGGACCAGGCTGGAGAGCTATCTGCCTCTGCCTCCTAGGTGCTGGAATTAAGGGTATGAACGTCCACCGTAAAGGCTTGTCTGTTTTGTTTTGCTTTTGGACTTTTATTTGGATGGAGTCTCGCTATGTAGCCTTGGCTGGCCTGGAACTTGAAGTCATCCTCTTGCCTCTGCCCTGGCTGCTGGGAGCACAGGCACACCACTCCACACTCCTGCAGTGAGCTTGCCTCCCGCCCCACAATTAGCCACCTTCAAGGTTTAATTTAATGCTTGCTCTTTCTTTGACCCGAACCTGCTTGCCTGTGTCCTGCCATCCCAGGAATGGTGACTTGGTGGCTGGTGGCTGAGAAGAGCTTGTAGGACATAATGTATGAGATGGAGATGGGGGGGGGGGCTGAGGACCTAGAACACTGGGGCAGAGGATTGGGGTGATGGCTGTTGTCTAATGCTTAACTTTTGAAATGCCCAGGATTGGCGGTTCCATCCCCATCGTCTTCTCCTACTTTTCGGAGTTTCTGGCCCAGGAGAAACGTGGGGAGCACCTGAGCTGGCTCTGCATGTTCTGGATGATTGGTGGGGTGTACGCAGCCGCCATGGCCTGGGCCATCATTCCCCACTATGGTGAGCAGGGGCCCCCCACTCCGCGTCCCCCCGCTCTGCCGCGCCCCCGCTCCTCTGCTGATTCTGTGACTGTCTGCCAGGGTGGAGCTTCCAGATGGGCTCGGCTTACCAGTTCCACAGCTGGAGGGTCTTTGTCCTCGTCTGTGCCTTTCCCTCTGTTTTCGCCATCGGGGCTCTGACCACGCAGCCAGAGAGTCCCCGATTCTTCCTCGAGGTGAATGGCTGGCTCCCGTGGGACGGGGAGGGATGAAAATGCATGCGATGAGGTCCGGCACTCTTGTGACTGCTCCCCCCTGCACGTGCCCATAACTCCGGGGGGACTTTATCGTGCTTCTTTCGTCTTAAAATGTGTCTCCAGAGCGGTTTAGAAGGTAGGAACCATGATCGGCTGTGGCGTAGCTGAAGCTTCTGCAGGCTCAAGTGGGGATCCACCCTCACACCCCCCATACCAAGTTCCGGCACATTAGGGTGTGGCTTCTTCTGTGACCATCATTTTCCTCAGCTTAGGCTTTTCCTTTTTGTTCTTCTGGAGAAACCCCTAGGATCTGTGCTGCCATCTCTTCCCTTGCGAGCCCCTGCCCTCAACTCTTGCCCAAGTCTGGTCACGCCTTGCTGTACCCCAGCCTGGGCTGATGTATATCCCCGTAGGTTAGGCTTGGGAGGGAGCTGGGAGTCTTTTGGTGTCTTGGGACCCTGGAAGTCAGAGGAAAGGGATGGGTTCTGTAATACCGGCTCTGGGAGCCCCAGACTGAATGTTGGGAATTGTATTTGTGGTTCTAGAACGGGAAGCATGATGAGGCCTGGATGGTACTGAAGCAAGTTCATGACACCAACATGCGAGCCAAGGGCCACCCTGAGCGGGTCTTCTCAGTAAGCCCCAGCCCTTCCCACCAACCTTCCAAATCCCTCCTTGGACCCTTTCTGGACGTTACCCATTTCCTAGACGCCTCAGACCAAGCTGCAGCTCACCAACCTTCCCAGGGCACTCCCTGCCTCTTATTTTGCTACTGGGAGAGACGCTTGTCTCGGGTTGGGAGACAGTGTGTGTCAGTGCACCCCTTTTCTTGTGCCAGGTAACCCACATTAAAACGATTCATCAGGAGGATGAGTTGATTGAGATCCAGTCTGACACAGGGACCTGGTACCAGCGCTGGGGAGTCCGGGCTTTGAGCCTGGGGGGTCAGGTAAGGGTGGATTGAATGGTGGAGCAAGGGAAAGAGGGAGTGGGAGAAGTGGAGAAGGGAGGGCTTGAACCTGTGTGATGGTGAGGATGAACGGAGGGAGGCGGAAAAGCAGAAAGTGGAGGTCTGCAGGGAGAGCTAGTCCAGACGTCTTTGGCCTTCACTGTGTCCCTGTAGGTCTGGGGGAATTTCCTCTCCTGCTTCAGTCCAGAGTATCGGCGCATCACTCTGATGATGATGGGCGTGTGGTTCACCATGTCGTTCAGGTGAGAGGGACCAGTGAGAACATTCAGGGGAGGGAGCAAAGTGCGTGGCTAAAGAAGAGTGAGACTGGGAACGAAGGGAAGGTGCTGTCTTCTCCCCTCCTCTTGACGCTTTATCCAGGTTCCCTACTTAACACACCGAACTTGTAATTCAAGCTGACAGATATTCAACTTTGACCCTGTGACAAATGGGGCTGGGTGGGTGGGGATCTCAGTCCTCAGGTGAATGGGATTGAGACAGGCCGAGGGGTGGGAGAGGAAATGTCCGGCAGGAAGAGCCTATGATGGGGGCGGAGAACACCTCACAGGCCCCAGAAGCGCAGGAGCTCGGAGGAGTATGTGTGGCGGGAAGCACGTGGCCACACAGGCGACTGCTGGCCTCCCCCTGCCTCACCCACCCTCTCTGATTCCGCGCCTTCCACTCTCCAGCTACTACGGCCTGACTGTCTGGTTTCCCGACATGATCCGCCACCTCCAGGCTGTGGACTATGCAGCCCGAACCAAAGTGTTCCCGGGGGAGCGTGTGGAGCACGTGACGTTTAACTTCACGCTGGAGAACCAGATCCACCGAGGGGGCCAGTACTTCAATGACAAGTACGCGGCGCCTTTCCGCCGGCTCTCTTCCCTGTCCCTTCTACTGCTCACCTCTGAGTTGAGGACCAGGTGTTTGGGGGCGGGGCCTGTGTGTTGACCTCAGGGCTGGTGCGCTCCCTACCTCTAGGGGAGTGAGTCTGTGAAGGGGCTGGGCGGGAAGGGGGGCAAGGCGGGGCCTCGGGGGCGTGTCTCATCATCCCGGCCTGCAGGTTCATCGGGCTGCGGCTCAAGTCCGTGTCCTTTGAGGATTCCCTCTTTGAGGAGTGTTACTTCGAAGATGTCACATCCAGCAACACGTTCTTCCGAAACTGCACGTTCATCAACACCGTGTTCTATAACACTGGTAAGGCGGCCATGGGGCCAGGACTGGGGCCTTGAGGAAGGGAGGAGGAGGCTCTCTCATGCCCGAGATTGCACTTCTCAAGCTGAGAGTCCCCTGGAGCCCTGGCTTGTTTACCGGCCACCACCAGGAAATCTTCTGGGTGTTTTTCTGTGATTTGAAGGAAGCTTCACGTTTCTTTACCTTTAGCTGTAATTAGAGAGTGAGGTAATGCTAATGTAGTTTTGAAGAGGGTAAACGGGGTTATTGGGAAAAAGAAAGGCAATAAAAAGAGATATTTAATAAGAAGAAGGTTGGGAATCCCGGCATCAGCCCATTTCTTAGCTTGGCCTAGTGACACGGCCTGTAATCCCTGTCCTCAGAAGGATGAGGTAGGAGGACTGAGAATTGTCTACAGAGAATTGTCTGGCAACGTAAACTCCTGTCTCAAAAGAAAACACACTTGGAAGAGCTGAGAGTAGCTGCTAGTGGTGGCGCGGTGCCCGGCCCATGCGATGCTCTTTAGGTTCAATCCCTAATAATTAAAATTTTTTTAAAGTGAGTATGATGTTGCACTCTGGAGCTCTAGTTCACTAGAAAGCAAGTTTGAGGCCAGGTTAGACTACGCGAGACCGTTTTGTTGTTGTTGTTTGGTTTGGTTTGGTTGTTGGTTTTTGCTTTTATATCATTAAAAATGGTGCTGGGTTCTCCTCAGTTACGAGAAGGCTAAGTGGTTGCTGCTCTTGCAGAGCACCTGGGTTCAGTTCCTGGCACCCACAGCAGGCAGCTCTCACCTGCCTGTAACTCTTGCTCTAGAGGATCCAACCTTGCCTTCTGGCCTCTGAGAGCTCATGGTACACACACACACACACACACACACACACACACACACACACGATAAATCTTTTAAAAATATGTAAAAAAGATCTTTTAAAAATCTTTTAAAAATTTAAAACCTCCTGAATCTTCTTTTTCTCTTTCTTTGTTTTATTTTTGAGAAAGGGTCTCTCTGTGTAGTCCTGGCTGCCCTAGAACTCACTCTGTAGACCAGGCTGGCCTCGAACTCAGAGATCCGCCTGCCTCTGCCTCCAGAGTGCTGGGATTAAAAGCGTGCACAGCACTGCCCAGCCTGCTAACATGGAGTACTGTGTAAGCTTTCCCCACCTTGCAGATGGCAGAGAGAGAGCTTAGATTTTAGTTTTAATGTTTTCTTCAGAAGCAGTTTCTAGACCAGCAGCAGGCCTCCTAGTTACAGCCACATCAGGTGGACAAAAAGGACGAACAAGAAGCAAAGGCTAGTAAAGCCTCACATACACCGAGCTTCTTGAGTACCGTTAGTCAGCTACTAAAAAGCTTGCTACTTCCCATGGTGCTTTGCGATGAGTGCCGAGGACAACGCTGAGAGCCCTGACTGCTAACTTCCGCAAATGCTACAGAAGCCATGAGCGGGAGCCCCCTCCGTCTCATGTTCCTCTGTGTCCTGCTCCTCTAGACCTGTTTGAGTACAAGTTTGTGAACAGCCGCCTGGTGAACAGCACGTTCCTGCACAATAAGGAAGGCTGCCCGCTGGATGTGACAGGGACGGGCGAAGGCGCCTACATGGTGTACTTTGTCAGCTTCCTGGGGACACTGGCTGTGCTTCCGGGAAACATCGTGTCTGCCCTGCTCATGGACAAGATCGGCAGGCTCAGGATGCTTGGTACGGGGATGAGGGCTGGCGCTGGGCCAGGCTGTCCGGCAGGCTCACCTCCAGCTGTGGAGGGCATCATCCAGAGAGCTTCTCCCTCTGTGTTGTTTGGGGGTGCTGCGGTTTGGGGTGGAGCTGGCGCAGTTACTCTAGGGGGTTAAAGAGGTAGGGAGAATAACAGGCAAATAGGGTACAGACTTTGAGATTCTAGACTTGGGGTTCGGCTCCACCTAGGGCAGGTTACACCCTGTGAGTGACACAGGAATGGAAATAAAATGTCTCTCAGAGGGCAGGTGTCTCGGAGAGGCACACTGAAAACACCCTGCTACTAAGCTCATAGCTGGTGTTGGATAAATGGCTGCCACTGTTACTGGCATTAACAAACACCAGGGGATGAGGACAGTGAAAAGCCTTCCTTTGGGCCACTTTTGGAAATGATTATCTCAGGTCGTCTCAAGCTAGCTAGCTGGTGACACGCTGGGCCATGGCTGGGTTTCATTGCTGTCCCCTCTCCTGGCTCCAGCTGGGTCCAGCGTGATGTCCTGCGTTTCCTGCTTCTTCCTGTCTTTTGGGAACAGCGAGTCAGCCATGATCGCTCTGCTCTGCCTTTTTGGGGGGGTCAGCATTGCATCCTGGAATGCGCTGGACGTGCTGACTGTTGAACTCTACCCTTCGGACAAGAGGTAGTTTGGAGTGTGGCAGGGTGGGGGTGGGGCAGAGGTGGGGGTGGGTGGGTAGGTGTGTCAGGACTGGGGTGAAGTGAGGTGCAGTGGAGGGCTGAAGGAATACTGTTAGGGATAAGAATTCTGTTAGGGCTATGACTGTTGTCAGGGATAGGACACACATCTCTGCTGAGTTTTTCCTTAACACTTGGAAGCTTTTGTATTCGCTCTTTGCTCTGCTAGTTACTAACCTCATGCTTCTGTCTCCTTTCTCTCTCATCTCCCGATTAATCCATATGCCCACCCTCCCTTCTCACTTCTTCATCCCTTCATCCTCCCTCCCCTTCTTCCCCCCTCCCCCGCTCATGCACACCACTTGCCTTCTCTCCCCCACCCCCCGCCCTCCGTGCCCTGCTTCACTTTCCCACCTGCCTATCTTCCTTCTTCTGGGTGTCCTGATTGCCTTGTGTCTTGGCTCTGGGGATGGCTGAGCAGGACTACCGCCTTCGGCTTCCTGAATGCCCTGTGTAAGCTGGCAGCAGTGCTGGGGATCAGCATCTTCACGTCCTTTGTGGGCATCACTAAGGCTGCCCCCATCCTCTTTGCCTCAGCTGCCCTTGCCCTTGGTAGCTCTCTGGCCTTGAAGCTGCCTGAGACCCGGGGGCAGGTGCTGCAGTGAGGGGCGGGGTCTCAGGGGCTTTAGGGATGGCAGGCACACTGTGAGACCAATAATTCCTTTTATCCCTACCCTGCCCTGCTGTCCTGGTCCTCACTCCCCCGTGTTTGGTGTCTTAGCTGTGTGTGCCTGTGTGCATGTCTGTGACCCTGATGGGCAGGGACTATGGGAAGGTCCCTTCACCCCAGTTTTGGGAGGAGGCTCTCCCCAAATGCCGCCACCCTCGACTTTGCACAGGAGAAGGCCCAGCTGCCCCTTCTCTCCCGCAGCGTTAGTGGGGGCCCTGTTTCCCTGCCCCAGGGATTCCAGAACTTCCGCCTTCCCCGTCATTCCCTCTGCCTAGGCCCAGCTGAATCACAGGTACAGAGTTATATTGGGGCTGAGGCTTGGACCAAAAGAACTTCTTGAGTGGGAAGGGTCTTGGGTGCCCTCTAACCACCCAAGGATGCTGGGGAGCAGCAATAAACCTCAGCCCTCTGGTCTCCATTTTCACCTCAATGCAGGCTACAAATGTGAAGCCTGGATTTTGTGGAATTAGTTTTCTGATTCTTGTTTCTATGTAAGTTCTGAGGCAGCTTAGGAGGACTGTGTGTGGATGTATGCATACACTCATGTATGTGTGTGTGTGTGTGTGTGCGTGCACCACGGGGCAGGGTACCACTATACTGTTTGAATATAAGCCAAGGGTAGTAGTCTCGGTAAACACACATACACAACACTGTTTTTCTATAGTACCTCCCAGGATCTTGTATCTGTGTCAGGGCTGGGAGGGAGGAGCCCTAGGCCAGGCTGGGCTAAGAGTCCAGCCAGCTAGGGGGACCTGAAGACACAGGACAAGGCCTCACTCTCTCCTGCCTCTAGAGAGGTTCTACCCACTAGCCACATCCTCCCACCTGACCTGTCCGCACAGGCAGCGGGCCAGAGGAAAGTATGGGGGAATAACCAGCAGATTCGAAAGCACAAGGAGCTGGGGCAGGGTCGGGCACAGGAAGCAGGGGCCTTCCCACAACTCTTCTCAAAGAGGTTGGGCAGAGGGGACCTAATGCAGGGACCAGAAGCCTCAGTCTCCCCAACTTGCCCTTCCGTGGAACAGCCTCTGTAGGTAGAGCTGCCCCCGTCCTACCCTACTCTGTGGCTGCTTTCTTTGGTACTCTCTTCCCACTCCCATTGTAGCTGTGATGTGTTGTAGTTTTTAGCTGTTTGTAAAAATGTTAAAAAGTTAAAACGAAGTTAAAATAACCACAAAAAAAAAAAAAAAATCCAGATTCCCCCTCCTCATGCTGCGTCTGGTGCCCTCAGCCCTGAGGCCAATCCCGATTTTGTAACACTGAACCGGGTGGTGACTGTTTTCACTCTGGTGTTTGTGCTCAAAGGACTGCCTTCTCCTCCAGTGCCCAGTGTGCGTGTGCCCCTTCTCTCACCAATCCGTGGCTGGACGTGGCCCTCTCCCTTACATCCCCAGGGGAGAAACATCCACCTTCTTGTCCCTGGGAAACCCTAAACCTGATTCCATTGACGTGAAAAGTGAAATGAAAAAATACTGCTGAAAAATAAAGGGAACAAACCCTTCAAACCCAAATCTGCTGTGTGCTTCCTGGCATCTCCATCCTGGCATCTTTCATCCTGACCGTCTGGGGGAGCTACAGTATTGTTGCCGACACAATTCCTTCCCTAGGGCTAAAATAAGCAAACCTCCTCTATTATTCTTGACTTGTGAAATGGGGGGGGGGGTACATTTGTTTATGGCAGCTGGAGAGGTGGCTCTGGGGGCCAGGAGCCCTTGTTACTCTTGCAAAAAGCAACACAAACATATGTTCACGAGCATTTTGCCTGCGTGTGTGTATATATACGCACGTGTGCCTGGTACCCATCAAGGCCACAGGAGGCCATTAGATCCCCTGGAACTAGTTACAGTCACCACGGGCTGTTGGTCACGGGCTGTGAGTCACCACGGGCGTGTTGGGGGCCGCACCTGGCTCTTCTGAAGAGCAGAAAGTGCTCCTAAGTGCCCTGCCCCCAATTTTAAGCAATGTCTTCTGGGAATTCCTACTGCCTGCAGCTAGCCCTTGATTCCCCTTTACTGAAGTCCATCGCTTTCATCAAGCTGTTTTACTTTTTTTATTCTTTCTTTTTGGAGACAGTCTCACTATTTAGCCCTGGGTGGCCTTGAATTCAGTGAGTTCTGCCTGCCTCTGCTCCCAATGCTGGGATTAAGGCTCTGAAGTCTTTAATAACCCTCTGCCCAAGAGGTCCAATTTTAGAAACTGGTTATAGTCAGAAATGGACAAGAGTACATACACATACTTATCTGCATGGCTGGGATTGAACCAGGGCCTCATACAAGCTAGTCCAGCGCTCTGGCACTGAGGTCTGGCCTCAGCCTAGCATGCGTTCAACAACGCTCTTCTAAGTCTCCACACAGAGGGCTCTGGAAAGCTGCTCTCCAGCACTATCCGAGCTTCCCCCCCGAAAAACGAGGCAGTGTTTGCTTTGGTTCTTCTCCTGCTCCAAACGCGGGAATTTCCTTCTTTCGGGGTTAGTTTTGCTATCCTTGCAAAACCCCAATAGTTCACTCCCCCATGAATCCCTTCCCTAGTCTACAGGTAATTTCCTTCTCGCCAAAAACGCCTGTAGGAGCCTAACAGCCGCGTAAACCTGACGACCTGAGTCGAATTCCCGGAGCTGTGTGACAGTGGGAGGCGTGACCCCCAGGCGTGTCCTCTTGACACACAAACGTGCCGCGGTGCCGCATACCACCCTCCCATCACGTACACAGTAACTTGTGGCTCCAATTTAACAGGTATTAGGGCTTTGACCTCATGCAGCCGTTTCTCTTTTATTGGCCCTTTCGGATTTAGCAGGAGCAGGGCGCCTCTCTCTAGTCTAACCCGAGCAAGGGCAGTTGCAAAAGGCTGCCCTTTCCCTTAGCTTAGCTTTCACCTGCCAGTCGCTTCTTTGCCTTTGCATGGTGTTTATTAGAAAGGGGAGGGGTCCTGGCCGGTACAATCAAGGTAGGAGGCAGTAGTGATGTAGTAGTTTATTCTCAGTAGACCCTTCTGGGTCGTTGTTCTCCCAGTCTGGGTACTAGGAGGTCCCTCGAGTTTTCTTGCTCCCACCTAGGCAGGGGGGGCTAATGTCCAACTGTGGGTTCTCCCTCCACTGGGCGGGGGTCTTCGCCTGGATGGCCAGCGCGTGTACCGGCCCAGCCAGTTCCTCCGACAGTGCCTGGTGGACCAACCGGTGCCGTTGCAAGGGGCTCATCCCCTCGAATCGAGAGCTCACCACCGCCACACGGAAATGCGTCTCGCTGCCCGCAGGGACGGCGTGGCCGCCGCTCTCGTTGCGCAGCTCCAGTACCTCGGGGCTCAGGGCTTGCTCCAGCTTGGCACGGATGGCGGCCTCCACTGGCCCACCAGCCGCCGACCCCGCGCCGTCCCGAGACAAACACGCGCGCGTGGCCATGGAGACCATGCCCCGGGACAGACGCGCACTCAGCATCCGCTGCGGAGAGATGAAGGACACGGGGATGAGCGCTGGCTCCGCACACCCTCCCCACGCACCCCAGACAGGCACACCCAGGGACCCTTCTGCTCCGCGGTGCGCGTTAACGCGGCTGCTATGCCGGCAGCAGAGAGACGAGGGGCGATTGAACGGTCCTAGCTGGGCACCGGGGAGGCATGGCTGGGAGCTGTGGAAATGGATTATGTACAACGTGGGCCTTTCGGCCGAGTCAGAGCCCTAACGTCCCCTCCGGACACTAGGGTGGTACCTTTGTACTTGCCTTACCGCGGCTTGAACTAACAACTGAACCTCCGGGCGCACAGGGTCGACGCAACCGCTAGGAAATGCGTTTCTGGTCTGGCAGACGCTACGTAATAACCAGAGGGTTCATGGGAATTGTAGTCCTTGCTCCTCTCGCCCTGTGAAGTCCTGCAAGGTTGGGAGTTAGAACAACGCAATGAAATAAAAAAGTTTTCTTGCAAATTTGAGATTGTTGTTTCTTGATCTTGTAACTCAAATAGTTTTAGTCCTTAAAATAATTAATTAAAAGCAAACGACGTCTCATGTAGCCCAGGCTGGCCTCTACTGTTCTAGAATGCCTGTTCTTTCTTGATCCTCCTGCCTCTGCCTCCTACGTCCTGTGTCGCTGGTAGAGTGTCTCCATAGTAAGATCAGGATTCCTATGAGATTATAACGGACCTTGCTCAATAGGTGAGCCACAGCCAGAGGGGCGTGTCTGCGGGGACAGCCTATCTCCCAAGATAACCTGTCCTGCCTGAAGCAGATAATTCCAGGGAGAAGAAAATGAAGCCCCTCACGAAGCCCCGGAACAGCCGCATCAACTTCCTCATAGGGTCCCACGCAGCTTTTTTCCTCTTGCAGATCAGTTCATTCCTGAGAGAGATAGGCCGTCCCTCTCTCCGTGTGGGCTAACCTCCACCTGTTGAGGTTAGACTCTGGTCTCTTTCTGCCTTCTGTCTCCATACTAACAGTCACCACCCCCTGGATCTCAGTTACAAGAACATGGAAGCCCATTCTATATGCTGAACACACTATTGTATGTTAGACCAGTGCTGGTGGCTTGAGGATAAAGACAGGCCCCGCTCACAGGGTCTACAGAACACTGGAGAAATGGTGGGAGCGACACTACGACGCTGTGTGCCAGGCAACGACGAGACCGCACACCAAAGGAACTTGTCGCCTTACAGAGGGCGGTCTAGAAGAAACAGCAAGAAGACTGCTTTCTTTTCTTTTCAAGATTTATTTATTATGCCTGCAGGCTGGAAGAGGAAATCAGATTCCATTACAGATGGTTGGGAGCCACCATGTGGTTGCCTGGAATTGAACTCAGGACCTCTGGAAGAGCAGCCAGTGCTCTTAACCTCTGAGCCATCTCTCCAGCCCAAGACTACTTTCTTACATCATTTTGTCAGGACGTGGTAGCTGATTGAAATGAAATCATGGCCGCTTCAAGGAATTACCAAGGTTTTTATTGTTCTTCTGAGGGAGAATACAGCCAGAGGCATCTGGAAGAGTCTAGAGCAGGAAGTAAAAACAGCAGACTAAACATGGCCAGCAGGCTGAACTGGGCTATGAGAAGAGGGAGAGGAGGCGAGAGTTTGAGAGAAGGATTAAATATAGATATAGATAGTCTCTCCTTTTCTGCTCTCTCTATGCTCCCCCCCCACCTCTCCTCCTTCTCTCACAGCCAGGTCCAGTCTCCTGGCCATGTTCTGCTTTTTCTCTCTGCTCTGGACTCCTCCAGATGCCTCTGGCTGTTCTTTCTCGAATATCTACAATAAAAACCTTCCCCTAAACCACACCATGAATTGTTCATGTTTGAACACCAACAGATCCCCAGGGCTGCTTGGGGGGACTGTCCTGGTGTGGTGGGGATTATGGGAAGAATATGTATCATCTCACTAAAGAGGTGTCATTCACCAACGTCTTCTAGGAAGGTTTAAGGTGAACCTGGATTCTTTCTTTCTTTCTTTCTTTCTTTCTTTCTTTCTCTCTCTCTCTCTCTCTCTCTCTCTCTTTCTTTCTTTTCTCTCTCTCTCTGACCCAGGGTTTCTCTGTGTCATCCTGTCCTGGAACTTGCTCTGTAGACTAGGATGGCCTCAAACACAGAGCTCTGCTTGCCCTTCAGAGCTTAGATTAAAGGCATGAGCCATTGCTGCCTGGCTGAGCTGACGTATTAAGGGTGAGCCTGTCTCACCAGGGGTGATCCATTGGCCAGGTGGTTGAATGGCTTAACTGGATTGATTAATGCATGTTTTGAGTAGCTTGGTACATTAGGGTTCCACCCCAGACAGAAATTTCATCTTCTTGACCAGAAGAAACCAGTTTTCCCTTGCCTGGGCCTTTCCTGCTGCTATGCCTGTTGAGTGAGTGGCAGCAGTGGAGAGAAAAGGCAGGGCCAGGTCCTGCTAGACTATGGATGGCTTTCTTAGGTGACTTTCTCCAGTCCCTAGGTAGCAGTTGAAATCTAGTGGTTTTAGTTAGAGATGAAACAAGGTGAAACTTTTCCAAAATGTTATGTAATTTAAAGTTATACATAATTTATTTGTTTATATAATTTACATATTTATTTATAACTTTAATATATATTCTACAGGATGTATAAGAATATATATACACACTCTTCCCAAATTTCCATTTTGAAAAATTTCAATCCTGAGCTTGGCTCAGTGGTTGATAGCATTTTCTGCTCACTCAGGGGAGCTGAGTTCTGTACCCAGCCCACATTAGGCAGCTCACAGACACACTGCTTCTGGCCTTTGCAAGCACCTTCATTCACAAGCACATACCCACACACAGACACATAATTTAAAAAAATAAAAGAAATGTGTGTGTGTGTGAGGGAGAGAGAGAAAAAGAGAGAGAGAGAGAGAGGCTGGACTAGAAGGTCAGCTTCGGTGACAGGGTCCTACCTGGGAGGGCTAAAAGATGAAGATAAAGAACACAGAAAGCTGGGGTCAGGTGATCTCGCACAAGCTATGTCTTTTGCCAAGCCAGTTTATTAAGAAGTACAACATCGTATATACTATTCGTAGAGGAAAATGGCCAAGGACAGCAGAAAGCTAAATCAGACAACGTTGGCAAAAGAACACAGGATACTGCAGACATATCTGCCTTAGGACTGAAAACCACAGCCCTTGGTAGGGTGGGGATGGGGCAGCCACTTCCCCAGGATCTAAAACCGTACGTCCTTTGAAGCCCTGGCTCCAGCCTAGATCAGACCTTACCCAGTCTGCTCCCAGGCAAGGACGTAGAACCTCATTCCCTTTGTCCTTTCATCAGGGCCTCTGAGAAGGCTGGCTTCCAACAAAATGCCAGACTCAAGAAGCAATGCTTTCTACTTTTCACTACACTTCCTTTTTGCTTATATGTGTGTGTGTGTGTGTGTGTGTGTGTGTGTGTGTGTGTGTGGTTTCTGTGTAGTCTGGGTTGGAGTGTGGGGCCTGGTACTGATAATGTAGGCCCGGGCTGGTTGGCTTCAAACTCACTATTTTTCCTTCCTTTGTTGGCATAATGTTCTTGTGGGATGTATACATTTTACCCTTGTTCATTCACATGCTGATTTCTCCTCCCCACTCTCTGGTTTCTATCTGGACATTGCATTGTGAAACTTATTCTAAGCATCACCTGTCTCAAGTCTGTGTAAACGTGCCACCATTTGTTCTCATTTGTCAATTAAAACAACCAGCCACAATGCGGAGCAATGGGAAGGATAGGGTGGGACATCCTGGTCCGGAGTGGGAGGAAGAGGAAGGAGGGAAGAGAAGAGCAGATAATCCGCAGGAGAGGTCTTGGAAACACATGGAGAAAAGAACCGGACCTAAGACATGACTAAAAGCAAGTATAATGGGTGAAATCTGAATGGTAGGAAACTATGCGGGCTTGGAGGTTTAGGATGGAGTAACTATTGCCCAGCATTGTGCTCTAGGTTAACTATATACATCCTAGTCTCTGTGTGGTAGTTTGGTTATACAGCTGTTTAGGATGAACTGCTGTTTAGCCAAAAGATATATCAATAGTGAATATTAATAGTCTACAACATTCCTTCTCTTCCTAGTGCTGGGTTGGCAGGCTGGTGCCGCCATGCTCAGAGCCACCATGCCCAGCTTAGACTCACCGTTTCACATACTCTCTGCACACTTAAGACATGTATATATACGTTTGTTTTGTTAACCACCTGAAAATCAATTTTACATACCACAATGCTTCGCCCCTAAGTGGTCTGGCCTGGAGGTTTTGAGGACACAGATGTTCTGCTATACAACCACAACACTTATTGTCCTAATCCAGATAGTTAACAGGAAATGACACTGTCTTTAGCCAGGCTTGGTGGTGCACACCTGTAATCCCAACCCTCAGGGAGGCAAGAGGCAGGAGGACCCCTGTGAGTTCAAGGCCAGCCTGTGTACAAAGTGAGTCCAGTACAGCCATGGCTATGCAGAGAAATCTTGTCTTTTTTTTATTATTTTTATTTTTTTAATATTAGTTACAGTTTGTTAACTTTGTATCCCTGCTGTACCCCACTCCCTCTTTTCCTCCCAATCCCACCCTCCCACTCTCATCTCCTCCCTGCCCCTCTCCAAGTCCACTGATAAGGGAGAACCTCTTCCCCTTACATATGATACTAGTTTATCAGGTGTCTTCAGGACTGGCTGCAAAGTCCTTCTCTGTGGTCTAGCAAGGCTGCTTCTCCCTGGGGGACAGGGGGAGGTCAAAGAGCATGCCATCGAGTTCACATCAGAAACAGTCCCTGTTCCCTTATTAGGGTACCCACTTGGACACTGAGCTGCCATGGGCTACATCTGAGCAGGGGCTCTAGGTTGCATCCATACATGGTCCTTGTTTGGAGAAACAGTCTCATAAAAGACGCCTGTGCCCAGATATATTTGGTCCTTGTGGAACTCCTGTTTTCTCCAGGTCGTATTAACTCTGCCCCTCCTTTTTTTTTTTTTTTTTTTTTTTTTGGTTCCTTGCATCCTACCGGAGGTTTGGTTATGAGTCTTAGTATCTGCTTTGATACACCGCTAGGTAGAGTCTTTCAGAGGCCCTCTGTGGTAGGCTCCTGTCCTGTTACTTGTTTGCTCTTACATCCAATGTCCATCCCATTTGTCTTTCTAAGTGAGGATTGATCATCTTACCCTGGGTCCTCCTTCTTGTTTATCTCCTTTAGGTGAATAGATTTCAGTATATTTATCCTATCTTATAGGTCTACGTAAGTGAGTATATACCATGTGTGTCTTTCTGCTTTTGGGATACCTCACTCAGGATGATCACTTCTAGGTCCCACTATTTGCCTGCAAGTTTCATGATTTCCTCATTTTTAATTGCTGAGTAGTGTTCCATTGTGTAAAAGTACCACAATTTCTGTATCCATTCCTCCATTGAGGGACATCTGGGTTGTTTGCAGGTTCTGGCTATTACGAATAAAGCTGCTACAAACATGGTTGAGCAAATGTCCTTGTTGTGTACTTGAGCTTCTTTTGGATATATGCCTAGGAGTGGTATAGCTGGATCTTGAGGAAGCACTATTCCTAATTGTCTGAGAAAGTGCCAGATTGATTTCCAGAGTGGTTGTACAAGTTTACATTCCCTTCAGCAATGGAGGAGGGTTCCCCTTTCTCCACAACCTCTCCAGCATGTGTTGAGAAACCCTGTCTTGGAGAGAGAAAGAGAAAAAAAAATCTTTCAGAAAAAAATTGCAGTATTGGCGTAATAGCAGACAGTATATCTACCTAAATTCACTGACCTTTTATCTCTCACCTCCTCCCCCTCCCCTATTTTTTGAGACAGTCTCACTGCACAGTCCCGACTGGCGTATAACTCAGTATGAAGAGTAGGCTGGCCTTGAACTCACAGAGTTCAACCTGGTTCTGTCTCCCGAGTGCTGGGATTACAGGTCCGAGTCACCACACCTTGCTCTTCCCTGGCAACATTTTCCTAGAATTGCTTTGCATCTCGTCAAATGTGTGTATAATAATGACAAAATAATTATGTTTGCTGAATCACTTCAGTCAATTGTACCCAAAAGTATATGTGTCTGAGTGTCTGCCTGAATGTATGTGAGTGCGCCACCCGCATGCCTGGTGCCCGAGGAGGCTAGAAGAGGTTGGTGGAGCCCCTGAAACTGGAGCTGCGGACTCTTGTGAGCTACCGTGTGGGTGCTGGGAACTGAACCCAGGCCGCTTGCAAGAGCAACAGTTGCTCTTAACTACTGAGTCATCTCTCCAGCCTCTGGGTACAAAACGTTTTGACCCGAAACTGCTATGTATCTATGTGTATGTGTATATATATACACGCTCACCTACCCTGGAAGGACATGGACGTTGCTCTTCACTGCCGTTCTCACCCCTGACACAATGAAGGCTCACACAACCCGCCCATCTAAGCATCCAGCTGGCAATCCAGCTTACCCAATCTTTTCATCAGTGTTTGCTGCGCTTTGACTGTGTCCTCCAAATTCGTGTTGACGCTGGTCCTAACTGTAGTAGCACAAGAGGTGGGGGCTTTAGTTAGGAGCGATGAGGCCGAGACGCTGCTCTCAGGATGCATTAGTGCCTTAGAAATGGGCTTGGGAAAGCAAGGCCACTAGCCCTTCTGCAAAGTGAAGACATCTGGACAGTGTCAGCTGTGAACTGGCCTTCATCAGACACCAAGCCTGTCAGCAACTTGGTCTTGGCCTTCTGTCTCTAGAACTGTAAACAAATAAAAATAAAATAAAAAGCAATAATAATAATTGTTCTTTGTAAGTTACCCAGCCAGTGATGTTTTGGTACAGCAGTACAAATAGACGAAGCGTCATCCCATCCGCTGCTGAATTCTTAGAAACACAGTCAGAGATCATATATTGCACGTACTTGGCTTCGGATTTCCATTTTGCAAAGAGCGCTGTCTGCAGCGTGGAAAATGGATTACAGGAGAGGCAAGAAAGGAAGCTGGGGAGAACAGCCGGAAAACTAACGCAGCTTTCCAGCTGAGAGGTGAGGACCTTGACCGGAGAGTAGGGCGTGGTCACTGCGGCCTCCAGCAGCAGCTTGCCTTCTCTGCAGAGCGCCCCCTTCAGACTCAGCCGAGCTTCATGTGACCACAGAAAAGGAATTTCAGGATGAGCCAGCATGAAAGTGAGCTGGCGTTTTAAAGAGCTCTGACATAGATTTCTGAGGGGGAACCAACACTCATGGGTGGACCGGAGCTCTAGAGCGCTTCGCTAAGTGAGATTGTTCCTATAAGGGACTTTGGTGTCTTCTGAGGTTAGACCTCACGTCTCTAAGAAGGGATAAATAGAATCACAGATTATAAAGTAGGATGCAGGGAAGTTAAGGTGTCTTTACGGTAAACAAAGTTTTAAAATCCTTTCTTCTTTCTTTCTTTTTAGGTTTTTCAGAACAGGGTTTCTCTGTGTAGCCCTGGCTGTTCTGGAACTCACTTTGTAGACGAGGTTGGCCTCATACTCACAGAGATCTGCCTGCCTCTGCCTCATGAGTGTGGGGATCAAAGGCATGCAACAAGGCTGCCAGCTTGACATTTTCTTACCTAACACTCAGAATGAAAATGAACAGATACTGTTCCAGGACCCTTTCCCTAAACTTGCCAGCTGCTGTGCTGTTGTCTTTTCATCTTCACTAATCTGGACTAGCCCCTTAGCTTAGCCTTTCAGAGCTCTGGGCTAGCCCCTCTGTTTAGTCCTTCAGAGCTCTTGGCTAGCCTCTCAGCTTAGCCTTTCAGAGCTGTGACTTTACCACTTTGGAGATGGAGTTTTAGAATGCTGCTCAGGCCAGTATCAAACTCCTGAGCTCAGGACAATCCTGTTACAGCCCTCTGAGTGGCTGGGACTGTCTGTCAGTGGGAGCTGGAGCTCCAGCCTTATTTGCTACCTGTAGTGGTCTGTGGAGTTCTCTTGCTCATGGCAAACTAGAACTAATTTATGCAGTGGAAAAGAATTTCAGGACCAGTGTGAAATACAAGTTGAAGTTTATTAAGGAAAGTTCTTTGTGTGTGCGTGTGTAGTGTGTTTTTTTGGTATGTGTGTGTGTGTGTGTATAAATCTGGGCATGGTGGTACACCTTCAATGGCAGTACTGGGTAGGTCTCTGTTAGTTTAGGGCCAGGAAGCCTGGTCTATGTTACAAGTCCCAGGCTACCCAGGGCCATACAGTGAGAAACCCAGTTTTCTTCCTTTTTAACATTTTTTTTTTTTTTTAAAGAGGGTTTCTTTCTTGTAGCCCTGGCTGTACTGAAATTATGTAGACCAGGCCGGCCTCAAACAGAGATCCGTATGCCACTTGAGCAGTACTGTGTTGGTTCCCGTTCTAGAACCAAACCCTTGAGGGATGGCCGGGTATGGAAGGTTTGCAGTATCTGAGGTTCTGGGTATCAGCTGAGCAACTTGGGATGATTCTCTCCAAGGATAGAAAGGACCACTATATTCTGAGTATACGTAATTTTTTGTTTCTTATTAAGGTTTTGTCCATTAATTTTAATTTGGGAAGTATGCTGGAGGTGCCTCTTAGTCAGGTGTTATTGAGGATAAAACACAATTACTGGGATAGGTAAGCCTGTGTGTGTGTGCATCAGGGGTGTGTGGTTGAAACCACCCAAAGAGAAAGCAAATGGGCAAAAAAGAATTGTGATGGCTAACTTTATGTTTACAAGTTTAAAATCACTAGTGTGTGTGTGTGTGTGTGTGTGTGTGTGGGTGTGTATCTGGAATAAAGGTAGAGCACTAAATGAATGTTTGCTTAATTCAACTTTTCTGGAAGGAACTCATCTGTTTTTGGCAAATAATCCCAGCGGTATCAAAGGGAACAGCAGCCAGCCTGTTAGTGATGGCACACACTTTTCAAATGGCCTGTTCTGTCTGTCCAAGGAAGGCTCTGGTTAAAATGCTGGGAAGGGAGCCCGACATAACGGAGCCTGATACAGCACTGGTCGATGTAGACCCAATCTAATATGGTTTTATATGGAATTCAAAGTCTCAAAATAATTCTCTTTTAAAGAGAGGAAAGTCATGGTGGACATGTGACTTTATTGTGACCAATATCTGGCTGGTGAAGGATTATGAGGGAAGTCAGAAAGAGCATATTCTGAATTTGAAAAACTTGGGATAGTGAGTGACTACGTGACCCTCAACACGCGCCTAAATCCTCCCTTTTTTTCCTTATCTGCCAAACAGAAAATTATATCCACTTTGCAGATGGCCTCTAGCACAGAGCTTACCATATCCTGGTTCAGCGGTCTCTTCCCCTTTAGCCTCCCTCATAACACAGGCAACTATTAAGAAAACCAGAGGTCCAAGGAAACGGGGTTCACCTGCCCCTCATGCAGGGTGTTACAAGCAGGGCCCTCCCTACAAGGTGCCAGGGCTATGTGTGTGTGTTCTCAGACATCTGGGTTTTGTTCTCTGCCCCAAATATCCCAAAAGTTAGTTGACACTTGCAGAGTGGAATGGCATTTTGGAATAAAGTATAACTTCCAGAGTTAGACACATTTCCCATGACGAGCTCTCCGTTTTTGTTTTTAAGGTGTCTAAATCTGGGCATGGTGGTTCACCTTTAATGCCAGCACTGGGCAGGCAGAGGCTCACCCTAGGCTTACAGGCCTGTGCCACAGCCTCAGTTTGCTTTATGTGTCTGAGTGTTTTGTCTGCCTGCGTGTATTTCTTGGTTGCGGTGCAGGGGTCCCCTGACCCTGGAGTTCTATGTGGTTGTGAGCCACCATGTGGGTGCCTGAACCCAATACCTCTGCAAGAGCAGCAAGTGCTTTCTCTCTACACTATTAATGTTGGAGAAACACAACCCATTTCCACCCTAAATGCCACCTGTGAACTCTTGGAATTAAACTTTTTGTAAACTCATCCATCTTCCAAAATGAAATGAAATAATAAAGAGGGTTAGATTATTTTCTGAATTACGTTACAGTTCACTTAGGAAATACCTTCATTGACTTAAGTTTGTTTTTTTTTTTAAATGTAGCCCATGCTGGCCTGGAACTCTTGGCCGTCCTCACACCCCAGCCTTCTAGTGCTGGGGTTAGGCTTGTGACCTCATGCTCTACGACTGGGTTTGGGCATTCCCCAAGTGTAGAACAACATTTTTTCCAGTACTTATCTCTGCATATAGCTATTAACTTCGGGGTGGTGGTGACACAAGCCTTTAATCCCAGATTTTGGGAAACAGAGGCAGGTGACTCTCTTGAGTTCAAGGTTAGCCTGATTTACAAAGCAAAGGCCACACAGAGAAACCCTGTTTCGAAGAAACAAACACAACAAATGAACTAATTTAATTCACATAATTCACTAGCCTTCTGCCATTTCTAGACATTTCATCATGGACTTCTTGGTGCTAGTCTTAATGACCTATCTATTCACTGTCCAGCAGCGCACATTCAATAAGCGTTGGTTGAGGGGCTCAACAGTCTTTGAGCATCCAGGTTCGATTCTCGGCACCCACATGCTGGCTAACAGCTGTCTAGTTCCGGATTTGAGGCCCTGCCCACTACCGGTACCAGGCACAGGCAAAACACTCATACACACAATAAAAATAAACAAACCCCAAAAGAAATGACGATGAGAAGGAATATTAGAGGATCCCTAAAAGGATAGAATTGAACTCTATTGTTTATCTATTTCTTTAATAAGTATACTGCCTTCGTAGGATTGCCAAAGAAAGGGCAGCGTTTGGCCGGGTACGGCTGGGAAGGAAGAAACTGAGGACTTCGAGATAGATTTTAAAGGGAAGGTGCAAGGGTAAAGGTGGGGCCGCTCCAGCCAGAGTTTGCAGACAAAACTATCCATTTGGAGCTGTCGCTGGAATCTTAGTGAGAATTCCTAAGTGGACAAGGACAGACTGACGTTAAGGAAGTAAATGACAGGATATGCTGTGACAAAGGCAAGATGATTGGTACCTGAAAGTTTGTGGGCGCAATTCTTGGGAGAGGGCAAGCGGATCTCAGGCTCAGATGCTTTAAGGAGCTTGTTGAGACAAACGAGCTAAACATCTGGTAAGCGTTTGATACCGCCGTCTGAGCCTCTGAAATGAACCTGGATTAGCTAGAAGCTTGTAAGCCTCTCCAGGGTGAAGAGCTGGGGATAGGATCGCTCGGCTGAACTCGTGGATTTAGACGTGGGGAGAGAACAGGAGCAGGGTAAAGAAAACCCAAGAAATCAAAGGAGGACAGATTGAAAGCTGGGAGAACAAGGTGGCGACACAAGCCTCCCAGAGGTCAAAGAGGAAGATGCCATGTCGTCTAGCCCTCGGGCAAACGCTTCGGAGAAGCAGGCCGGTGATGGGGCGACCCACTGACCAGGCACGGAAGGGAGGCGCCCTCGTTCGTCTGTACCGAGCTTGCCCGTGCGAGACAGGAAAGGCGAGACTCAGGGAGTAGCCCCATACTCTAGGGCGGCTGTCGCCTTTCGTCCTTGTGTTAGAGTTCCCAGATCTAAGCTGGGCAAACAAAACGAACCCCCGGAAGGTTCCCCACTAAAGTAAACAGCTGCACAAAATTCCTCTGCCTTTAAAAACCCTGCGGTGTAAACAGGCGGCTTTAACGTGGCTTTCATCGATTGGTAAATTTTTAAAAAAACTCCGTCACTTCCGGTACTGCAGGATGTAAACTATTGAGTCCAGCATTTGCTCTCCCATTGGCTCTTGGCAGCGGCTCCGTTTTTAGCCAATCAAACTCCTCCTCCTC